ATCAGAGTGATTGGCTAGCAGGTTGATTGGCTAGCAGAGTTATTGGCTAGCAGGGTGATTGGCTAGCAGGTTGATTGGCTAGCAGAGTGATTGGCATCGATATTCCTTGCACTGGCGCGCTCAAAGCCTAAGGACGCGCAATGAATTACAAGAACTCTACTGTGACATTCAACGCCTGATGTAACTTCCATTCCTGGGCCTATACTTTAAAAAAAGTCAAGACATCGTAAGTTCATCAGCCAATCATTGACGGCCTTTCAAGCAAAATCCACCAATCATAGACGAGAAAATGGAGCGTAAGTACTTACGTTCACTTAGCGAGTTTTGAAGGTATAGGCCCGGGAGTAATAAAAATATCATATGGGGCATGGATATTGATTCTAATAAGTAGGTTGGTATCGTGTTAGAGTGGCAGCACCGTGGCTCGGGCAATAAAGTGTCATTTTTCATCTTTAAATTGCGTCACATCAATGATAAATGTTTATGACTACGTATATAAAACGGTTTTATTAAGCCTAATATTGCATCGATAATTTTAATTGCAACATCGCATTTCACTCAAGTTTAATAAATTTCATAATTCGTTCATATTCCTGCACGCATTATTTCGCAAGTTGTAATAAAATAATGGGAAAAAGTTTTGTGAATAAGGGTTTGGAGCCCTCACTCTCAACAAACTTTTCCAATGAAATGACATTCAGAAGCGCATTCCCCCACCAGACTGTATGGCGTACATTAGTACTAAATACAGAGCAGAACTTACGTCCGTAATAATGCCTACTTTCCCCGCCAGACGCGTTGCTCTTCAGTTTATCTCTGCCTCGAAGTTACGTAAAATTTGGCTCAGCAATTATGAGGATAAGAAGCCTTGAGCCGCTAGGCCTAGCGAGCCGACGTTTCTCATGGAACTTCGCGTTGGGGGAAACCCGCGGCAGTCGGACGCATGGGTGTTATTTTTTGATAAATATTACTTTTTAGCGCATTTTCTCATTTATGGAAAAAAGGCGCTATTGTGCTCGTCATGTCCGTCCGTCCGTCCGTCCGTCTGTCCGTCTGTCCGTCTGTCCGCCTGCCCGTCTGTCCGTCTGTTCGTATGTCCGTCTGTCCGACGTCTGTCCGTCTGTCCGTCTGTCCGTCTGTCCGTCTGTCCGTCTGTCCGTCCGTCTGTCCGTCCGTCTGTCCATCCGTGACTTCATGTTTTCGTCGACGAGAAATGCGCTCTCTGTCACTCACTGCACTGAGTACTGAGTTATATTTTTACCAATATTATTCACCCATAGCTGGGGTGATACTAATATTACTCACCCATAGCTGGGGGTGATAGTAATATTCCTCACCCATAGCTAGGGTGATACTAATATTACTCACTCGTAGCTTGAGTGATACTAATATTATTCACCCAAAGCTGGAGGTTATACTAATATTACTGACCCATAACTGGGATTGATACTAATATTACCCATCCATAGCTGGGGTGATACTAACATTGTTCATCCGTCCGTGAATAAGATACATTTATTACTCAAGACAACTAAGCAAGATTCTTACGTTCATAGGTGTTCGTTAGTTCACCTCCTATACAGAAAAAAATATTTTGAAGAGAAATATCCCATGTCAATTTTACCTCTTAAATGACCATAGACAGCGAATCTTTATCTCACTAACACTCAGAGTTTCAATTCCCTTAATAATATTATCAGAGTCCCTCATTATGTCCCATTGTCCCAGAGTCCCAGCAAACGATGACCATCAAAAGGAAGGTAATCAGCGTTACCATTACCAACAAATATGGCCATCTTAAGGGAGGTAATCAGCGTTACCATTACCAACAAATCACCCCAGCTATTGGCCATCTTAAGGAAGGTAATCAGCGTTACCATTACCAACAAATGAAGGCCATCATCATTGTTCAGCGCTACCATTACCAACAAACGATGACCATCTTAAGGACGGTAATCAGCTTTACCATTACCAACAAATGATGGCCATTATAAAGAAGGTAATCAGCGTTACCATTACCAACAAATGATGACCATCTTAAAACAGGTAATCAGCGTTACCATTACCAACAAATATGGCCATCTTAAGGAAGGTAATCAGCGATACCATTACCAATAAACGATGACCATCTTAAGGAAGGTAATCAGCGATACTATTACCAACAAATGATGGCCACCATCATTGTTCAGCGCTACCATTGCCAACAAATGATGACCATCTTAAAACAGGTAATCAGCGTTACCATTACCAACGCTAGCACCTCGCATCACGCGTCTGCACTGTGATCTGCTTAGGCCTCTTCAAGGCTCACTGCTCACTCCAGCTCTAATGTCTTCAGGTTCCAGTTGAGTTAGCCCTTAACTGGGCCACATGCTAACGCCAGGTTCCAGTTGAGTTAGCCCTTAAACTGGGCCACATGCTAAGAGGATTGTCGAGTTATTACAGCGCTACTGATAAATCAATGCCTTGTTAGTATAAATTTTATTCGCTTTGAAAAAATGGTCTCTTTGTATAATGCTATTCCTACGGAAATGGAGAATTGGATCTGTCACACTGACAAATTTCTGCTCTGTTGCAACTTCAAATTACAATGAGATTCAGGAACGAATTGTAAATTGCTGTTTTCTTAACAAGGAAGGTACTTACTCGATGCCCATTACTCGATTTTGATTCGCACTGGTAATGAGGCAAAAGATAGTTATATGAAAATGTGTGAATATAAGTGTTTTGCAGTAGGCTCTAAGAATATATTATTTAAATGCATACGGGGATATAGATTCATGTAGATTTCTATCAGACCACAGAAAGTTTACCATTTTGCAGTCTTCTTCCTAGGAGTTATAGAATGTTGATATAACGTAGATTCCGAGCTGACATCAATGCAATGTTAATCAACGAAAAGACAATACAAAATCGACATTTGAGGAGTGACCAACATAGCGTTAGATTCGTGTCGATTTTCGATTGTTGCATGTTGCGGTGGAAATTTCCAATATATCCGACTCTGAAAATTCGACCAAAATAAAGTATAAAGGACAAAATTTCAATTTACTGGTGTCATGTATGAAAATCAGGTCCTTTAATAAATTATTTTGTAGTTCAACGAACTTTCAACGACATTTTTACATTGAATTTCAGCCTCAAATACCACGTGAAAGGTATTTACTTAATCTGAACTTTAAACTGCTAACAATTAAATAGTTGCTATAAGAAGAAGTTAGTCATTAGGATAACTCGACAATATAACTGAAAATTTTCATTCAAATGGGTAAAAAATGTAGTTAAGGACCTTTCTTTGGTGACATATGTTGTTCATGTTCTAGGATAGCAAAAAGGAAGATAAGAATATTACTTTATCTCGCTTTCTAGGCTTCTTTCGAACCGTGTTCCTCATAAGTTTTACTGTCAAATTAAACATGAGTCACTAAACAGCGTTTCCAGCTCAAACGTGAATACATCCGGGACATGAACGATAATTAATTACTTCTAATGAACGAGCATGATAATTGAGCCTATAATTGGCAGGAATTTGAGACATTTACCAGACGCATCCATGCACCTGTTCCTTGCAGTGCACTATTAAATTAAATAGTGCATCTACAGTACAGTACATAAATTGCAGCTAATACCCCTTACAGCGGTTAATATGAATTATAAGTTGGCGGTACGGCGGTTATCACACCTTGTACAACGATCATCAGTTCCTCCTATCAGTTCCTATTTTTTAATTCAATTTCAACCTCATTCCAACGTTAAGTTGAGAACGCTGCCTCAGAGTTGAATTTCGGCTGCAAAAACCCCGTTCATTGCATATCTCCTTGGCCTAAGCATGACATTCGCTTATTAGATATTTGTCACTCCCAAAAGTTTGTTATTATAATCAGTTGTTTTCATCAGTCAATGTTCAATAACGACTGAACAACTGATCAATAACAGTCAATGTTCAATAACAATGTCAATGTTTTCATCGAACTAGAACTCGCAAAATTTAGTTAGAGATGCCCTGGTGGCATATGATCCTAAACATTGTAGAATATGCCACGAACTAATTAGTTAGAGATGCCCTGCTGGCATAGGGTCCTAAATATTGTAGGATATGCCATAAACTAATTAGTTAGAGATGCCCTGGTGGCATAGGGTCCTAAATATTGTAGGTTATGCCATAAACTTATAAGAATCTTGACCGGCAGGTATTTGTGCACCACATCGCTGTACACGACCTGCTAAGAGGTACAATTATTGATATATTGACATGATGGTCTTTTTAAACAATCATACTAATTTTAATGATGTAAAAAAGAATTTAAATAAATCATATCTTTAAAATTTAGTCTCAAAAGGGGTTTTTGCTGAAGAATTTTTGTTGTAAAGAGCTAATTTTAATAAATTTTTTATTATTTACGCCCGCGAACAACGTGTCCTCGTTGGCTAAGGCGTATGACGCACGCAGAGGAGGAAGTCGGGGGGCCTGGTTGAAGTTTGTTACAGCAGAGAGTTGAGGTTAGTGAATTAATTTGGTCCTAAATAGCATAGCTACAATTTCCATTTTGTACTAGCATTAAGCATGATTCTGACGTCCAGAACGGAGATGGTTTATGGTTTCAACATTGATTCAGCCAGAGAATACGCACCCGCCATTCCGCACCCCGTCAGGTGCGCTCTTGTCAGCAAAGTTCTGTTTCTCTCCCCTGCCAACCGTTCAGCTTCGGTTGGAGCGCCAGAGTTATGGGGCCCTACAATCATTACTCGCTCACGTACACGGAGCGGTTGATTTCCCGTCTATGGTTGGTGGGTTTAACTTGAATGGCCGTCAGTGATTAGTTAACGGACTCTCAAATTTTTAAACCATTGTTCAACGCCAGTTTACTCTTGTGAGCGTGGTCCTCCTCAGTACCCCTCCGGACCAGAACCCCTGACCCCTCTACCAGGCGCCGGATCCGTAGGCTGGAAAACTACGTAAAATTACTCCCGCCTATATGAGCCTACCGTAGACAGGATCAGTGCCAGGCCTATAAATGCAGGCCGTTGGGCAACCGCGTCACTTCCGTGGCACCCACCGCAGCCCCAGCACGATGCTCCAGTTCCTCTGCCTCCTCGGTGAGTTTGCTCAGCTCCTTCGGTTACCCCATTGGTAAGATTTCCTTCTGCTATCTTATTTTTTATTTACCACAATATTAATGAATTCCAATTCTATTTTCTAAAATTTAAAGTTAACACAGCTATTATGAGTATGAACGTCGCTAAAAGATTTATAAATCTTGGATACTAATGAAAAACCATGCATGGCATGAGCTTCTACTAATGGGTTATAGATAATTTCATAGTTGGCCGTAGTTATTCGTTCAGCGGCTCTTGGAAAATGAGTGAAAATCGAATAAATATAAAATGCCTGTGCTTGCAGGCCGGGCCAAGTAATCTTCAGTCAGCTGAGTCAAGTGCTCATATCCCATGCGTCTTTACATTACTGCAACCCGGTTAACATCGTCAAAATATATTAAATTTTCGATTTATGCGATTGATGTCAGGGTTTCTTGAATTTCAGCTTTTGGTGGACAACAGCAGAGCAACCAATATGAATATTGTTCGATAATTGCAAAACAATATTTGTTATAGGATTCCTAGACGAAAAAACACGAAAATCCCCACGTGTGACGCCGAGTCTCTCAATTTATTGATATTGATTATTGATTGCATGATGAATGACGTCCTGGTTTTTAGTGAAGTCACGTCGTATCCATTATATATCTCTTCTTACTGTGTCGTACTTTGTTTGATATGGCCGAGGCTTGAGGCTCGTATGTCTCGTCATAATAAAGTATGCTTTCTTGTATTTTATCATGGTTTTTTGTACTTTAATGTACTACATTAAAAAATAAACTTTATATATAAGTTTTACGAAATTACATTTTTAAGCATTGAACCTATGATATTCATTACTATAGTTAAAATAGGATTTTATATTAATTCAATATCATCACCATTAAACCATTGATGATGGATCATGTATCACTTGAATTACCAGAAAATCACCTGATGATTTATCATAATTCACTATCATCAACATAAAGCATCAGTAACATAATTTATTAGCGATTTAATAGCGATTAATTTAATGCTAGTTAAATTTAATAGCGTAATTCACTAACTAGCATCAGTGCCGTAATTCACTAACGTCAGTGCCCCAATTCACTAACGTCAGTGACATCATTCACTAACGTAAGTGCCGTAATTCACTAACGTAAGTGCCGTAAATCACTAACGTAAGCTAGTGACGTCATTCACTCAACACTAGTTTCCAACATTTCAACCATTCGTTTCGTTCGTTTCACATCGACGTTTAATGAGCAGAGATTGTCTACAGAAAACGAATAAACGAAAAGTTCTTTGAATAAACAAATTATGAGTGAAAATAAACAGTTTTAATCGTCATTTTTTGAAGTTGAATGAAAATTTTTTTTAGGGAACGAAATTAACAATATTCCAATAAAATATGAAGGAATTGTGAAAATTTTCATCTCTCAAAAAAAAAATTCTAAATAAACTATTTCTACGTAATTTATTTGCTTGTCTTTAGCATTCTTGGCTTGCTGATTTACTTTTGACATAAAAAGAGGATAAAAGAAAAGTTCCTCATAAACCTGCAGTGTTGCTGGCCAGTGACGGGCTCGCTGGGGCCCCAGGTCCTTCGGAGACAGAAATCCGGTCCATGAGGCTCCCCCAGCACGCCAGGGTCCTCATCTCCTCACAAGAGGACTTTGAGTGAGTGTAGTGGTCTTGGTCGTCCCCCTCTCAAATATTTCTAGTGAGCGTAGTGGCCGTGGAAGAATTTCCCTCGAGGACTTCGAGACAGTTTAGTTGTCATGTTCGTCCCTATCTCGAAGACTTCGAGTGAATGTAGTGGTCATTGTCGTCTGTCTCTCGAAGACTTCGAGTAAAATTAGTGGTCATGGTCGTACTTCTCCCGATAACTTCGAGTGAGTGTAGTGGTCATGGTCGTCTCTCTCTCGAAGACTTCGAGTGAAAGTAGTGGTCATGGTCGTACTTCTCCCGAAGACTTCGAGTGAGTGTAGTGGTCATGGTCGTCTCTCTCTCGAAGACTTCGAGTGAAAGTAGTGGTCATGGTCGTACTTCTCCCGATAACTTCGAGTGAGTGTAGTGGTCATAGTCGTCCTACTCCAGAAGACTTCGAGAGAATGTAGTGGCCGTGGTTGTCCCTCTCCCGAAGACTTCGAGTAAGTTTAGTGGTCATGGTCTTACTTTTCCCGAAGACGTCGAATGAGTGTAGTGATCGTGCTTGTCCTTCTCTCGAAGATTTAGAGTAAGTGTAGTGGTCATGGTCGTCTCTTTCACGAGGAATTCGAGTGAGTGCAGTGGTCATGCTTGTCGCTCCCGCTAAGACTTTATGTAATTGTAGTGGTTCTTTAGCGGTAAGTGTAGGGGCGATTCTCGATTCACGAGAATTGCCCCCAATCATTTCATTTTCATTGCTATTAATTTTAAAATTGACAATGAGTGATTTTGAGAATAAAAATGATAATTGGGAAAAAATATTTTATCTCGTTAAAACTGATTTTTGCTGCAGTTTTCGTGATGCAACCAATTTTAATTGTGGCAGTCATCTCACTCCAGCTGTTTTTACGACTATTTTTCGGCATGTACAATGCCTTTTTGAGGCTCACAGCGAATTGATTATGCAGTTTTGTTTGTTTTGTGATATTGACGTAGTTATGACCAGAACTAAAATTGCATCACATCGCTTGTGTATTAAACATAATCAGACAAACAATGACCAATTCTCCGGCTTACAGCTGCGCAGGAAAGCTCTTCGGTTTTTACCCCGACACGAAGAGCAATTGCAAGGTGGTCCACATTTGTCACCCCGACCTCTCCATCAGAAGCTTCTTCTCGGGTAAAATCTTCTCATTATACTGCGCTGGAGACACCGCATTTGATCAGGTCAATATAATAGCTGGATAAAGAATTAAAGTTCTTATAATTTATTATTCAACATGAATAATTTTGAACGAATTTCTTTTATCACAATTTGTTAATCTTTATTGTTTTATATTGTTCTTTTATAACGATTTTCTTTTAATAAGTCAGTTTATATAGTCTTTAAAGTTGGTGTTGAGACAGAGTAAGTCATTCCAACTTCATAAGATACTGATGAAGTGTAATAATCTCATTAAATTTTAAAATAATCTGACGTCAAATCTTAATGTTCCCACAGAGAACACTGACGTGTCGCCGGACTGATATCGAAATCCCCTGCTTGGGCGTACCGACGATGTTCGAGAACGGCTCCCCGTTTAGCGGTTTTGTGAGGCGCGTAGTGGACCCAATCATGAAAATAATGAACTTCAATGACGTGGAGCGATCTGAAGTACTTCGAGGGTCGACAACGGACGCCGCTACCTCATCTCCTAAGAAGCCATCGTATTTCCCGTTCAAAACTCTTCACCAACTTTCCCAGAACATCTTGGAGAGCGCAAAGACTAAATTCAAAGGCCCTTCAGCTGAAGCCACGGCATTTAATCGCAGGATTGATATTGTCTCGGGTGAGACGAATTCGACTGAAGAAAATAACCACAGCAGCGAGGAAACTATGGCTACGACTTCTTTCCCTGAGGGTGTAGAAGACTCTTTTGAAGTTACCACCTCGATGCCGATGGACTCGATGCTTGATGAAACTGGCGCTTCTTCGGAGACTACAGGAGACTTGCTCTTCAGAAGCTCAAATTTGGTTGATGATTTTCATGTTACAAACACTGGCTTAGTATCTCATCCTACACACAGGGTAGAGAGAAGTGTGACAGAGGGAGGGCTTAATGATATCGGGACCGAGTCGATTGCTGAATCTGAATTCACAACCGCAATGCCTGGCGATCTCTGGATGGATGGGATGTTGGTGCAGATCGACAATTGGAACCCAGTTTACGTCGATGCTCCTCCTGAGTTTATCGAAAAATATTCACAGGAAAGTGATGAAGACGAGGACATTGATAACAGTTCAGAAGAGGTAGTTTTCACGACCCCGGCCAGCGTTTAATTTTTTAGAGAAAACCTTGCAGCCTTGAACCGGTTTGAAAATTGTTCCCATTCAGTACCGAACTGCACTTTCTTTGACACCAGTGCACACATGTTTAATCATCTCTACCTACGAATCGCTTGACAATTATTACCCATTTCCTACTCGCAGATGTACAGTTGCGGTAACGATTCTTTCAGAAGAAAATTAAATTGAAAAATTGTAACGATTTAATGGAACAAACTTAAACGTACAGATTACTAATATTTCTCATAAACTATTATAGTATATTAAATGTACAGGATTCTGCATTTAATTTTTGCAAACACCAGGTTTTAGCATGAAGTACGAAATAATTATGAATTAATTTTCTGTATTTTAATATCTTTTTATGATCATTTCACCATGGAGCTAGATTTATCATCAGGGTCATTATAACTAATCCATAAATTTTCTCATTTCATGGAGAGTCTTAAAGCATAATTTACTAATATATATCGCTAGAGAACAACAATATTGTTTGTGTGGCATTATTTTAATAAACAATTATGCCTATTCTCTGTTTCTATTATTTCTCTATTGTGTTAAAGGCAGTGTTACATCTACAGAATGATCACTTTGGACTTTGCGACTGTAGATTTGACGTATAAATTGCACCGTCTGCACGAGAAAATGCATCGTTGGAACCAACATCCGTGACACTAAGCTCTTTATTGTACTTTTTGTTATGGTACTGCGAGTAAAACAATTTATCATATTGATTTGGAGAAGAATATTTCGAATGTTTATGCTTTAGATCGGCAACATATTGAGAACGTTTCATAGATGGCACATCACCGGCATCAAAGTTGCCAACGGACTCATTTTTTCCAGAAATATTTTTCGTGAAATTTGAGTTCGTTTCCTCAACAAGTTTCGAATCGAATGATTCCTTTTCCTTTATAAACGTATTTCCTACTATGTCATGCTTCTCAGACGACATACGCAGGGCATGCAGGCTGTCCTCATACCCCGCCACAGGGCATGGGTACCACCGGCCACAGGACCGTGGTGCTGTGGTGCCCATGTCACTCGCCGCCACCAGTCGCAGTTTCAGGGCCTCCGGCAGGCGACGATTGTCTGTGAGGGTGTGTAAAATCCTGGAAAAAAGTAATTCAATTAATAATTAATATAAAGTATTTGAGTTGAAATTTTTATAGCTTGTTTGTTCAATTCAGAAAAGTTTTCATAGAAGTTCTGTTTCTTAGATCATCCTTACACGATACTAAACGGCTGATCGAACGTCCGCCTCTACTGCGGAACTTGTGTGTGGACAAGCTCTGATGACAACCTTTGTTAATATAGAGTCTACTTTTATAATAGCTTCAAATAATATCATAATCAATTTTATTACTATTAATATTATTATTATTATCAATATTATTAGTCTTATTCTTATTAATATTAATATTATTATTATTATGTCCAAATACTGATTTTATTTTACAAAATTATTCAAGGACTGGAGCTTGCAATTGAAGAACAATCGCTGAAATCTTCTTTATAATGAAGGCCCCACTTAACCTGTCGATTTGGAATTTTTTTAAATATATATGTTCACAATAATTTTAAATTAATCTAAATTCAACATTTCATTAAAGTTCGATTTTCACTCTATTTTTCGTGGATCTATCTATCAGTCAAAAAAATTTCATGCCTAGGGATATTTCGGAACGATAGATGTTATAAATTCTTGACCAATCACAAATGCAAATGTGCTAACACATAAAATAAAAAAACACATTTATTCTTTGAAGGAATTATGAGGCTCGCTGACTCTACCATTTCACGAAATATTAGACAAAATGAGAAACTAAACTCTAGGAACCTTTCGAATACATTATTTTTATTGATATATTTTAAAGAATAAAGAAAAGTTTCAACACTTCTCTTAGTGAGAAGCTTTGACACGAAATTTTCTGGCGCGTGCCACCTTATCCACTATATTTTTGTGGCGTATACTGACACAGTGGCAGTGGCTCGCTCGTTTGGCATCATAGGGTACGTGGCTCTATATTTGTGTGGCGTATACTGACACAGTGGCAGTGGCGCGCTCGTGTGGCACCATGTGGTACGTGGCTCAGGTACGTGACTCTATATTTTTGTGGCGTTATTTTTGTGGCGTATACTGACACAGTGGCAGTGGCGCGCTCGTGTGGCGCCATGTGGTACGTGGCATCGGCTGTGGCGCAGGCCAGATGTTCCAGGCAGCGGTTGGTGGCCGCCGTGAGGCCACTGCAGCTCAGGTAGCGCATTATGAAGTCGTCCTGTGGGGAGTGTTGTTCAGTTATGAATTTTAAGGTACCCCCTTTTTTCAGTTTTCTGTGAATTTCACGTTTGCTATGAATTTTTCCGAAAAAATCATACGAACAAAATGTACTTGTATTTTGGTTTTACATATATGTGTGAAGTTTCAGAAAGATCCGTTAGTAAATGTGGAAGTTTTTCTGGAGACGATACCCCCCTTTAACCTGATGCAGTATCAGTACTAAGTGATATTATACTAGGGTTAACCTGGTGCAGCAGCCGTACTAAGTGATATTATACTAGGGTTAACCTGGCGCTGTAGCCGTACTAAGTGATATTATACTAGGGTTAACCTGGCGCTGTAGCCGTACTAAGTGATATTATATTAGGGTTAACCTGGTGCTGCAGCCGTACTAAGTGATATTATATTAGGGTTAACCTGTTGCTGCAGCCGTACTAAGTGATATTATACTAGGGTTAACCTGGCGCTGCAGCCGTACTAAGTGATATTATACTAGGGTTAACCTGGAGCTACAGCCGTACTAAGTGATATTTCGTGGACCACAACCAAAAAGTAATAGAAACGAGAGATGTTTTGTTTCCTTTTTCGCACAATTGAAACTTACTTCTATTTTTTTTGGTATTTGTTCTTACGTCACATAATACAAAAAATACAAAATTAAAAGAAATATATATTATATATTTCATTATATTTAAGGGCTTGAAACTGCCCAGTGCCGGGGAATTGCATTCCATTATCACAGGAGCTTGTGACTCCAATGTCGTATAATAATATAAGTCTTATGTCGGAGAATATTGCTAAAATTCATACAATTAAAATTTTTTTACGATATCAGATTTTGATTCAAAATTTGAGGGTAATTAATTGAATTAAATTTTTTTCCTGGTTCCAGAATAACAAACACTACACACTTTTTTTGTAGTATTTTCAAAAATAATTACCTTGATATTACCAATTAGCTTAACTGGACAAGACTCCATCAATCATGACTCAAACAATACTACAATAATTATATTATTACTTAATCATGACTCAAACACAATACTACAATAAACAATACTACAATAACTATTGCTCAATCATGACTCACACAATACTACAATAACTATTGATCAAGCATGACTCAATCAAACAATACTATAATAATTATAATCTCACTAGATTGCTTGAATCTAGTGAATTATTAGTCAATCATGACTGCAAACAATACTACAATAAAAAATACCACAATATACAATCAATACAATCATGACTGCAAACAATGCTACAATAAACAATACCACAATATACAATCAATACAATCCTGACTCAAACAATACTACAATAAACAATACCACAATATACAATCAATACAATCATGACTCAAACAATACTACAATAAAAAATACCACAATATACAATCAATACAATCATGACTGCAAACAATACTACAATAATCAATACTACAATAATTATTACTAAATCATGACAGAAAACAATACTACAATAAACAATACTACAATAAATATTACTCAATCATGACAGCAAACAATACTACAATAAACAATACTACAATAAATATTACTAAATCATTACTGCAAACAATACTACAATAATCATTAACCTAAAGTTATTACAGACCTGAATGTGTTGCTCGGCGCTGAGGCCCACGGTGTCCTCGATGTAGCGCTGCACCTCAGCGAAGTCCTGCAGTTTTTTATTGAGGACTTGCGAGGACTTCACGTCGAGGCTCCTGCGCCGCCTCCCTGTGGTCGTGGCCATCGTCGTCACCACCCTGGGCATTGAAGAGGTCAATTATATAGGCGTTATTTTATATGTTGGAGTTATTTTATCTTTTATCTGTTGGAGTTATTTTATCTGTTGGAGTTATTTTATCTGTTGGAGTTATTTTATCTGTTGGAGTTATTTTATCTGTTGGAGTTATTTTATCTGTTGGAGTTTTTTTTATCTGTTGGAGTTATTTTATCTGTTAGAGTTATTTTTTCAGTCATATTGGAGTTACTCCACTCTACCCCTCTCACTCTAACCTCATGAGTGTTTTTCCTATCATCTTTCTCCCACTCAACTGAACCCCTCAGTGCTACTCCCCACTCACTCATTTGAGCCACATGAATGTTATTCCACTCTTCCCCCACTCACCCGAAACCTATCATTGGAACCAATGATCCCAGTAGTGCCAGTGGCGCAAGTATGGAGCACAAGGTGCAAGCGGCGGCTGCTTTGCTGCTTCCACCTCCACCTCCATAGCCGCCTCCACCACCTCCATGACCACCTCCACCGCTGGCTTTAGCTTGATGAACGATAACAATGGGGTTACCGCCACTTCCACCACCACCTCCACCGCCTCCACCGCCGCTGTAGTAACTTGAGTGACTTCCACCCAGCCCGCCGCCTCCATAGCCACCTCCATAGCCACCTCCACCGCTTAATCCCCCACCACCGTAAACAACTCCACCGCTTAGACCTCCTCCACCTCCGTAACCACCTCCGTAGCTGCTTCCAACTCCACTTCCTGATGAGAAATAAAAATTATTATAATTCACACTGCAATAAAAATTCACACTGCAATAAAAATTCACACTGCAATAAAAATTCACACTGCAATAAAAATTCACACTGCAATAAAAATTCACACTGCAATAAAAATTCACACTGCAATAAAAATTCACACTGCAATAAAAATTCACACTGCAATAAAAATTCACACTGCAATAAAAATTCACACTGCAATAAAAATTCACACTGCAATAAAAATTCANATGCAACCGCGGTTTGGTTGCAGGTTTGGTTGGTGCTTTAATGCAACCGCGGTTTGGTTGCAGGTTTGGTTGGTGCTTTAATGCAACCGCGGTTTGGTTGCAGGTTGGATTGTGGATTCGACGCAACCACAGTTTGGTTGCAGGTTTAGGTTGAAGCTTTGGCATGTTGGGTTGTGGCTTCGAAGCTACCGCGCTTTGGGTGTTGGTAGCATAAAAATTTGTTGTTATGTTCAGACTATTCATGCCATAGTTTATTGTCACTATTTTTATGATAAGTTTATTAATTGCTCAGTCACTCGATTGCCTTCATTATAAGTACGGTATTTTATTCATTTATCTAGAATCTAGATCAAAATTTTCATAAAACAACTTAGATGCAAATTTTAAATTTATAAGTCAATATCATTCTTTTAACAATAGACCTTCAAAAACCTAAGTAATTCTCTAATTTGGAACAACATTCCAAGCCAAAGACATTAGGTTAACCGTATTAACTAAATATTTGGCTAACCGTATATCACGCCGCCGCTGCTGCCAGAGCTTCCCGAGTAGCCTGAGCCTCCAGTCGCTGCAATAATAAAATATCGTATAAAAAAAGTATATATAATAAAATATCGTATTAATTATAAGGCGTACTTTTAAATTAAGTGCCGTTTGACATCATAAACAAGTATATTTTTTCCGAAAATTTTATATTCATTTAAACTGTCAAACTTTACTCTACTTTACTTAATAATTTTCATTAATATTGAGGCATTAATTGAATCTTGGGATCAGCTTTTGTGCGCCATCGTAAGAAAAGCTCGTAGCCTGATTAGACAACCACTGCTTCGCGGTCGTTTTCTCTTCGTCATCATCGTAAAAGCTCTGCACCGCCATTCCGATCATAAAAGCATTTCTAGAGACAGTGCAGTGAACTCTTCAGCTGAGGACGAAATCGCGGTTTTCTTTCACTTTATAGTCCCTTTTTGCATCCTGCTATCGGTAATGGCTGAAGATCATGAATGCTCATCCTGAATGCTTTATCTTTAATTGTCATATACCATTTCGGCAACATTCCATCCTTATAATGTTTGCACCACATACCACTTCACTGATTTTGCGATGAATGTTAACCGATTTAATGCCTTGAGCACATAGAAACAGTATTACAGCAATAAATTTACAGGCTGCAGGATTCTCAATAGATGGAGACATTTAAAATCAGGTAAACAGATGCGGACTCGCTCAGATGGTTCTGTAATGGCGTTTGTGGCTTCGTATTTCCCAGTGATTATATAATAGTTTTATAACAGTTATATCCAGGGCAACCTAAGGGAACCTACTTTATTGCACGTATTTCTACTGGGAGCCTTTTTTTCTAGGAACCAATGCAACCAACTCTCAATAAAGTAGGTTTCCCTAGGTTACCCTGGATATAACCGTTGTAAATAAGTTTCCCAGTGATATAACAGATGTAGCTACAGGGCGCGAATGCGCTAAACGGTGGCCGCAGCGCTGTGGCGGTGTAAAATAAAAACTTTGGTCACTCTAAAAACACCACTTGCATAAGAAATACCATGATTCACTTAATAAATGATTCAGATGTAGTTAATATCAGACTCTTTTTCTCCCACCTGCGATGTAGCCTCGCTCCTGCGCTGCCTCTACGCGTCCCGCCTCAGCAGTGGCCGCCAGCAGCAGCACGGCGGCCACTAAGAAGCCCCACGCTGGACCCATCACTCGGCGAGGGGATCTGGTGGGGATGAGGACAGGGTTAACCCTTGGTGGGGTGACACGGGCAGGGTTAACCCTTAATGGGGAGACATGGGCAGGGTTAACCCTTAATGGGGAGACATGGGCAGGGTTAACCCTTAATGGAGAGACATGGGCAGGGTTAACCCTTGATGGGGAGACATGGGCAGGGTTAACCCTTGAAGGGGATACATGGGCAGGGTTAACCCTTGAAGGGGTGACATGGGCAGGGCTAACCTCTGGTGGGGGCGACACGGGCTGAGTTAATCCTGGGTGGGGTGACTTTTGAATAGTTGGCGTTTTGATGGGGTAACATGGGGAGGGTTAAATCTTCTCAGGGTGACATGGGGTAGGGTAATCATTTCTTGTGTTGACAAGGAAATGGTTAAATTAACTCTTGATTGAGTGGAATGGGCAAGGCTAAGCCTACACGGGGTGACATGGGCTGAGTTATCCCTTCACGTAGTAACATGGGCAGATTTAACCCGTGACTTGTAGAGACTGTTCCGAGTGACTCATGAACGAAGAAGAGGAAATGTGTTTCAGGATTTCTCATTTGAACATGACTGCCAATTTTATAAATGGAATTCCAAGACCAATCGAAAAATAAAGTTGCAGCAAATGATTCGTACCAAATGTCTGTGACAGGCACCACTTACACGGACTATAGTTTCCTTGCGTCAAATCACCGTAGGTGAAGACAAGAGCTACACTGTTTTTACTGGCACCTTCGTAATCCAGAACTAAATTGGATCAACGTTCAACGAATTCCTAATTAAACAAATTTATTCAATATAAATTAGCTGAGAATCGATCTGCTCGGATGCGACTTCCAAAAGTGAATGAAAGAGAGGCGTTTTCTCGAGACCTTTATAACGAACTGCTTTCTGCGGTCAGCTGCTATGCATTCAAAGAAAAATCTGCCGGACACAAAGGCGTGGAAGTTTTCTCAGAGATGCTCGCTTTCTAAAGACGTTGAAGGAATTACGGAACCAAGGCCTATACTTTCAAAAAAAGTTAAGAGATCGTAAGTTTATCAGCCAATCATTGACGGCCTATCAAGCAAAATCCACCAATCATAGACAAGAAAATAGAGCGTAAGTACTTACGTTCACTTAGCGAGTTTTGAAAGTATGGCCCCTGGATCGTCTTCTTCAGTGCATTATGAGGTCAGGTGCGTCTGCGCATGCGCAACTGTGTTGTGATCTCTCGTCATGCTCATTGGTTCGTAGGATTTTCTAAATCGAAAAATTCAAATAGAATTTTCAGCTGTCATGGGAGAAACGGTTACATGGCTGCGCGTTTGCCTTGTATTAGGCAGATGGCAATCATCTTCGGAGTAATTAATAATAATAATAATAATATTAATAATAATAATAATAATAATAATAAATTATCATTATTATTATTAATACTTTATGTGATTTAGGTAAATTATTAGTGTTAATTCAGAAATTACAAAATTCAGAGCATGTGTAATAAAATTCAGGGAAAAAATTAGTTGACTGATAAATAGGCTGATGATGCATCTAAGTAAATACATGTTCTATTATTAATAACGATGGTAGGGAAAAATATTAGTAACGTATCATACCTAAAACAGATTAACTGGAACAAGGAGATATGACAATAAATACAAATAATACAGGCAATTTCCTTGCCTGTATAATTTAAAAAACATATAATAATAATATAATATAATTTTATTATAAAACATATAATAAAAAACATATAATATAATTTAAAATGTTAAAACAGCCCATACTTCGGGCTGTTTTACCATTCAGACTACGTCACAAATACTGATTCTATGAATCAACGATTTTATCAGAGTAGCGACCCACGTACTTGTAAATATTGATTATCTGAAAGTATTACATGAAGAAACAACTATGAATACCACCTTTTACGTATGTATCTTTGCGATTATATATTGTGCAACCATATAAAAAATATAACTCAGTACTCACTGCAGTGAGTGACAGAGAGCGCATTTTCTCGTCGACGAAAACTTGAGGTCACGGACGGACGGACAGACGAAATTTGAACGCAAATGATCGAAATATCTCTATGTTATAAAATTTGAACGCAAATGATCGAAATATCTCTATGTTATATAATTTGAACGCACAGTTAACTGGAGAAGCTGCGGTAGTTCTTATGGCAAATCAAGCTTTCACTTTATGTATAACTAGCGAAAAAAGTATTCAGGTATAATTGACAAAAGGCGCCTGAGCTCCGGCTCGTCAGGAGCCAATGGCTGTTTTCAAATAACAATTATTATTTCTCATCAATACAGCGCGCATATATCAGTTCAAAACGAAAGTGCAACTTAAATAAGAAACGGCCTGTGTTCTGCACAGGCATGGTGCTAACGAAACAGATTTGTTATAAAAGATCTTCGCTGCTTTTCACTACATTTAATAAATTTTGTCGGATATGCTTAGCTTTCGTTTAACAAATATGTTTAATGGCCATTATTGTGAGGCAAAAGTGTGAGAAAATGGTCTCTATTTGAATTTTTTGTCTTGAAAAACCTTTAAACAAAAGAAAGCTTTCTTGAGAATTCTTTCTAATTCAACACATAGGTTCAGAAGAGGAATAGATATATTGTGGTGAATTTTCCATTAGAACGCATTTCGCTTTCATGTTCATTGTTAGCCAGACATGTATCATATACATTGAGAATAGACTTTTCTCTCAAATGAATAGTTCTTAGTTGTTTTCGAAATGATACATTCATTTGAAGTTCTCCATTAATACATAATTTTTAAATTATTAAAATGAGCGCTTTAATCAATGTAAAATTTCTCCCTAAACAGATAACTAATATTATTTCAAATCGAAATTATTTATTTAATTTAACATCAATGAATGCAGACACGAGGAATTGTTGTTCGCTTTTGTCTTTAATAAATAAGCTAAATAAGATTTTAAAAGCAATAAACCTCAATTCATGTATTTCAGTTCATCGAACAAAAATCCAACTCTTAATTTTTACATTTCTTTGAGCATACATTAGTGTGAGTGCACTTTTTATACTTTATTATAAATATATTTAATATTTATTATGTAATGTCATGTTGTACATTATCTTATATCCATTTTTCTATCGTGATGATTAAATATCGAAGAATATTGTAATACAATCAAATTACTGTCCAACCACCCAGCAAATTACATCAACATTACTGTTCCTGGAGTGTGTCGCCCTCAGTAAAAAAGTTTTCAAGCCTTGCTTAATCTTTTTCGCAAAGTAATTGAGCATTGGTATAGTTTTGTATATTTCGTATTTTGATAGCAATAATAAATGCAGAAGAAGACTTGAAGCACCTACATGGGATTTTAAGTAACGTCTGTAATTATGTAAGTAATTTAATGGGCGAGGAGTGGATAATGGTTTCAGACATGTGCACCTAAAGATTTTATTTAACGTTCTAGTAACGGGCGACGGGTGAATTATAGATTTATGGTAAACACCCTCATGAAGGGAATGTTGAAGTTCGCCAGAACGAATAATTGATTTATGGTCTGAGTTACGCAGGCGCTTACATGCAACCGTCACGATGCAGAAAAAGTGAAGGTAATTTTGGAACAGAAAACGTGTAAACTTTCGACGGTGACTTCATAGAATTTAGCGTCGTCTTCCTTTGTGCGTCCTGAAAGGGGAGCCTGTCTCACGCTTTTAGCTGTGGACAAAAAAACCGAGCAGTGACACGAACGCCATACAAACCTGCTCAAAATTACAATTTGCTTTTCACTGAAAGAAGAGTAACGTTCGCATTGCACTGAAAAGACCTCGACATTCATTTTAAAAACTCTGGTTGTTACAGGCTTGCGATCAGTAATCAACACGAGCATTAGCAGCTTCAATGCAGTCAACACGAGCATTAGCAGCTTCAATGCAGAGACAGTCTTAGCAGCAGTTCAATGTTTGAGTACTGAAAGAGAAGCGTTCAACTGCAGTTCTCGAGTCTCAATACAATGAGCGCTTAAAACTGATTTGTTATTTAACAAGAACGAGACAGCTAGAGTGTAATGAGGAGACATTATTCAGCTATGCTCTCCACGCTGGGCTGTGGGCATGTTCAAAATGTGTGGATAATGTCGATCCGTGTGATGGATGATCTAGGAAAGGCATGAATAAATTAATTTAAAGATATGAACAGAATGTTAATTGATTTCTGCTGTGGACATGTGCTGCTTTTAAGAAACTATGCACTGAATGTTATCGTCGAAATTATAATTATATAACTCAGTAATAAAGTTTATTAGGGATGCGTCTGTATAAATGTGGAGCGTAGATGCATGCCTGGCCTCTATGAAAACATATATTTTGTAAGAATTTCGTATATTGCATTCATAATTACGCAAAACTTGGTCAAGCACTGAGCGGTGTTGGCATCACCTATACTTATCCCATATTAATTCAACTATACTTTATCCCTTTTTGTTACTTATTCCTCACCATCAGGACTTTCTGCGTCATGAGTGGACTTTTTCCCTCTAGTTTCATTCTTTCCCATAAAGAAAATTTTGTGTAAAATGATGTTACAATACATAAAACAAATACAAGGATATACGTTGGTGCTGGCAAAGGTTGCAAGTGATGCTGACAATAAGACAGTGTAGGTATTCAGTTATGCAATCACTTATCATTTAATGCCATGCTGCCAGTTTTGTCTTTGCTGCCTCGGGTTTTTATTTTTGCAACACCAGAACATACTTGCAAGCAAGTCACACCTTTTAGGGAGACTATAATTTTGTTTTAGGGAGACTTTGGTTTAGGGAGACTATAATTACGTTTTTACCTGATCAAAAGTGAATTTGAAGGATTTCCGTGAATACCATTCAGAACTATCAAAAATTTCCATTTGCCTTGCAAGATCTCAAGTTTAAACGTTTTACTTCTTATACTACATAGTTAATATTTAGAGAGAGTATGTCTGTGTTTGTCAGAAACGGAAGTGATAAGATATATTTAGATTAAAAGATACTACTTGTATCTGAAGGCGACATCGAGTTGTGAAACAAGCAAGAGAAACGGAAACGCCGGTTGACCGGTCGATGTTTATTCATACGTATTCTGCATCCGAGCCTATACGTACGTTTCTCATACGTATTCTGCAGCCAAGATAATATCTTTCTTATACGTATTCTGCAGTCAAGGCTATACGTTTCTCCTACGTATTCCGCAGCCAAAGTAATACATTTCTAATGCATATTCTGCACTCAAGTTTATACGTTTCACACCCGTATTTTGTAGCGAAGACAGTACGTTTCTCATCCGTATTCTGCAGGCAAGGCTATACGCTTCTCGTCCGTATTCTGCAGCCAAGAAAATACGTTTCTTTTCCGTATTATACAGGCAAGCCGATAAATGCATTTTTTAAATCGTATTCTGCTGCGAGCTGAAGTTCTGATGTCACCGAAGCTCGCTTGGCAAGTCTCGTACTTTCATTTTCACTGCGCTTGCTTGACATGTCCCCTGCACTGCACCGCTTGGCACGTCCCCTGCACTGCCGCTTGACACGTCTCCTGCACTGCACCGCTTGACACGTCCCCTACACTGCCGCTTGACACGTCCCCTACACTGCACCGCTTGACACGTCCCCTGCACTGCCGCTTGACACGTCCCCTGCACTGCACCGCTTGACACGTCCCCTGCACTGCACCGCTTGACACGTCCCCTGCACTGCCGCTTAACACGTCCCCTACACTGCCGCTTGACACGTCCCCTGCACTGCCGCTCGACACGTCCCCTACACTGCCGCTTAACACGTCCCCTGCACTGCACTGCTTGACACGTCCCCTGTACTGCCGC